GGCATACAGGTATATTATATAATATATATATATATATATATATATATATATATCATATATCGATTATCATATATCAGTGAGTCATGATAATCGACTAATCAAAATATCCAAAGCAAGAGAACGATAGCCACTTGTATACGTTTGTAATGACTCATCAAAATATCCAAAGCAAGAGAACAAACGCCACTTGAATACGATTGTTTTGGTACACTGTCGATATATAAGTAGTGTTTCGGCGTGTTTTCCATGAAAAACACGTGTTTACTAATTAATATAATATATAATATCACTATAATTTAGTTCTTTGTACGTTCACCTAATTTTCATACGTTCAGAGTTACGAGAGAGTGTAGGATCTCATAATGTTAAGAGGAAATTTGCTAGAATTTTTCATTCTCGTAACGTTACAATGTCACGAACAGTCTACGATTCGAAGTTAATGTTAAGACTAATTTTGTTTCTGACAACGGGCCCCTGTTTTCGCAAAACGAATTTGCATCAATTCTTTGAAAAGGTCACGGCTATTCTTGAAAAGGGCGGAACAGACATCTATCAGCATCCCAGCACAATCAAAAGATTCTGCACCTCCTCCTACCCGAAACTCTCTTCGGGCATGTAAAAAAATACCTTCCTCTCCACAAACAACATGATGAATGGGTCTATACGTTCATCTCGTTTGTTTTGGTTTGTTTTGATAGTCGCCACGCTCGCGTCTTGTGTTGCAGTGCAGAATGAATTCAAGAGCGTGTCGTTTTTCCATCAGATATTATTTATATGTGGTTAACGATCATAATATCAGGAGTGAATAAAGAGATCTCTATTATTCACTCCTGATAATATGCATAAAATACTGTGATGTACAATAAATGTGTATGAATTTGAGTTTTGTGATCGATTCTCATCCAATCAGCAGCCCCGTGACAGTAAATTTTCTCAAGTTCCTGTTATCGTAAGATTTGACTTCCCTAGAAAGCTTGATGATAATTAATATAATCGTTGTATCATTTGTTTCCGTATCTCCGCATCAAATTCAGCGTCAACACTGTGACAGTGTGAGTCCAGATGCTCTGAAGTGAGTGTACCGTACGCATGAAAGAGAATAGCAATTATGGTATACATGCTAATGTTTAATAATTTTAATTAATTACTACAAACACAATAAAAGTTTTAACGCCGATAATGATCTTATCGGTACAATGCTTATTACGAAAGCGAGAAAGAACCACAACAAATATTTGAGAAGCATCATATATTAACATTATATGAGTAATGAATATCATAGCCAATTCAAAATAGATAAAAAAAAGACTAGGTAATGAGTTATTTGAGAAACCGTACATGTATTTTGTACCAGTTCGATGTTATAGATGTCATGAACATCAGTAATTTGAGTTCTCTATCCACTGGGGTGGCATGATCTATACGCTTAGCAAACTTGATGCATTTTACTATTTGGTTCGGTAATTCAACAGCCGGGGATAATACTGATTTAGAAGCTGATCCTTATGTGAGGATTCCATATTGTAAATAGGGGATAGGAAAGCGCATAATATACAGAAGTAAGAGTGTTAGTATCTACGTATTGTCTGAATTGTATGTTTGATGTATTGTATTGTCATCCGCGAACAGTATTGTAACAAAGTTAGATGGAGATGGGAGATCATTTATGTAGACCAAGAACAAAAGTGGACATAGCGTTGATCCTTGTGGTACGTAACAATGGAATTTGTAACGGAAACAAAAGTATTTGAGCATCTAATCGGTAGCTTTTATCTCATTGTAAATTATAATTGTGTCTTACGGAATTAGATTAGATCGTATAAACTTATCGGTAAATATTTAAAAAAAATACTCGGTTACTCATTTCATGGAGAGTGTATCGTAAAATCAGAAAACTTGTTATATTACTCAGAAGACACTCACTTAATCACCTTATTTTATTTTCCATACAAAATACAATGGCATTTAACTTGCAAGATTGTGCGCATGACAGACTCTACCGTGAGGTTGTGCACGTACCACCACATCCGCACGTCGATCTGGAGGTATTGTTGAATAACCTAGAGGACGACGTTCGACATGTCGTTGTAAACGAAATCGAACGTATCTTAGGTTGGTCATTTAGAATATCTTTATCAGTGTTGATTACAATGATTCAGCCAACAACAGGAAAAGAGTTACCCCAAGAAATCGATGTGACATTCAGCACAAAATTAGCCGATATCGGCGAAGAGTGGTATAATGATGCAAAATGTAGCCTACTAAAACGCGTAGAAGCGTTTACATGCACTATTAAAATCAAACTGGTCATTGAAGACTGTTAATAAAATAATTCTTCACGTAAGAAAGTTGGACGTGCTGCGAGCGAAAAAGGGTCATGGAGACGTTCTTTTGCCTAAAAGGTTATCTGCAAAGCAAGCAGTAATTAATCTACAGCATATACGCGAAAATAAGTGCTTTCTCTACTCTGTACTGGCCGCAATTCATCATGGTCGTTTCGTGTCACATAAATACCGTGTTCGTAACTACCACAATTATATTGACGATCTAAGCATGAAGGGCATAGCGTATTCCGTGGATGTTAAGTCTGGTATAACTAGATTTGAGAAACAAAATCCGAGATATGCCATCACGGTGTTCGAATGGACTGACTTATTAAACGACGAGCTACTAGTTAAAGTTGTCAGACAACCATCGAGTAAGGTTTCAAATGGCCGCAAGATAATAATGTTGCTATTAGTAAAAGACGACCGAGGAAAATACCACTATTTGCCAATTGTCAATCTAAATCGACTACTAAATTCAAAGTGTGGTGTGAGAAATAGGTATTGTTGCGAGCAATGTCTGCAGCCTTTCCATCAGAAATCTTTATACGTCGTTCACCACCAATGGTGCTACGAAGGAAGGCGTCAGATTGAGAAACTGCCAGAGGAGGGTAGTATAAGTACAACTTCGACAACTGGCGAAAAACGATATCACTTAGCTATTACGTCATAGCCGATGCAGAATGTATCACAACAAAGGTCAAGGATCTGTCGGGAAAGGTACAAAAATATCAACCGATTAAGAAACCAATCAACACGGTTTGCTCGCCTGCTCATTGGACACTGAGAACGGACGTCAGTGCATAATGAGGTGCAGGGCGACTTATAGATAGGAAGAGAGGAATATTCGAGAGGGAAGGCAGGGTGTGGCACTGGTATACGTAGTTGGGTTTGTGTATGGAGTCACATATGTATTAGAATAAAGCCGCTATAATATACAAGAAGTCTTCGACCATCACTGTTAACGAGCATTGACCAACTTGTACGAGTGACGGACAAAACCAGCCTTACAATACCGAGGTCACAGAACATTCGCTGTACGTGATTTCTCACTTTTACAAACTGATTGTGAAATATAATCAAAACACTTCCTGTTCACATCCTGTTTTTATTCCATAAGCCCATCCTGTTTTTTCATTCCTTATCAGATAATGATAGTGCTGTATCTAAAATATGAACTCATATAGGGTATCGAGGTCATGCACTTTTACCACCTTAACGAGGACAGACTGGACCCCAATATAGTCTCAATGTATGGGAGAGCAGGGTACACTGAGAGTTCTATGATGCCACTGAATGAGGGTAAGATTCGGCTAGTAACAAAAATTGGGGTTAAAATGCACCACCACGGGGCGTCACGTCACTTACGGGCAACCGCCAACCGGCAGTTAGATGCGATATGATATGACTCGGCGCATACAGTTTGAATATTTCATCATAGCTCCTCCTTTTTAAATCAGCAAATTGGACTCGAAAAAATTACCTTTTATATATAAGATTAGATATAGAATAACTCTCTATATAAATATTCCTACGTTTGGAACATCATACTCATATGCACTGATTAATCAGCCAAAAATCGTCGCTATTTACAGTTGACCTCAACGCACTATAAATTACTGTATTCTTTTGTTGAATAGCTATCCCATTGATCAATATTATTTTACCTTGCGTTTTATGCTTCTCTTTGCCGCCACCTTTCGCAGTGACAGATCGTAGCTCTTTATGTGTACAATGAATTATTGCGGTAACGGTCTATAACTATATCTCCAAGCTAGTTATTACATTCGCCTTACTACATGCGTTTCTTACAAATTCTTTCATACAATGCACTTTATTAAACATTAAAACAATCCTCTTCTATAGATTCTGTTCCTCGTAAGAATTCATATTATGTTAAGAGTATTGATATTAAGCAGTCATATTTATATTATCTACGTTAAATGCACGCCATAGTATTACTATAGTTATCATACGTGTTCAGGTGCACACAGTGTGAATATATTGTTATCTTTTTTGTGCGTATCTCGCAGTCTCTTATTTAATGTTTCGGTCAAATTATTGCCAAACCCTAGATCTCCTCAGTTTATCTTAGTAACTATGTATTTCCTTCATGCCCCTGAAGGGCCGCTCAAAAAATAAAACATTGTCAAAATCATTGTCATTGCCCATAGATTACCCATAAGGCTTCGTCTTTTTCTTCTAACTCCGCTATGTTAAAATTAAATGATAATTTCTCCGCATGAGAATTATCACCAAACATATGAACAGCATAACGCACGTTAAATTCGTACTTTTTCCTGATAGAGTCTTGCAACACGTGTCGTTCAGAAACACGAGAATCATTCCATGCTGCGAGACGACAGTTTGCTCTGCAAGAACATCGTCTGTCAAAATGGCTCATCTGCCAGGATTGCAGTTAGCTTGCGTAATCGAGATTAATCCAAAAATCAGTTGATCTTTACAAGGTAAACGTAAGCAATAGATAATTTGTACGGTTCGTTTGCTAAACGTTTCCAGATCTTTGACCTTATTCTATTAGCTGGTGTTGAGTTTTTTACACAACTAGCTTATCTGAAGCAACTAAGCACAATAAATCAGGACAGGAAGGAGACTCCTGATAAATTAAATAAA